AGTTCAAGGCGAGACCGAAATAACAAACAAAAGTACCACATATTCTAAGTATTTAATTCATTGTTCGTATTTCATAACTGGCAAAGCAAAGGGCAAGAGAGCCCAATGATAATGAAAAGCCTTACGTTTGCATATACATCAGCCACTGAAGATGGAAAATATGCATTCACTAAGTATCTACGCAATAGTCATCATCTTTTGACCAAATAAACTTGTTACTATCTCAAAAGATAAGACATATTATATAACAGATTACAGTTCAATAGCTCTTCAAAGCCAAAAACCTTATAATTAATCAGCTAGCCAAACCAAAATGTATCTGTTTCAAATACTGTTTTCTCCCATATAACAATTCTCCTTTAAGTTAGTACAACAACTCTAATTAACCTAAATCACTATGTAATGGACAAAATATCAATTGTTAAAAATAATTCTCTCACTAAAGATGCTCTTGGGACCATTTCTGTGTGTGTGTGCATGTGTGTGTGTGTAATATAGAACAATTCTGTTTATATTACTACTCATGTAACATGAGGAAAATGTGATTTATTTTATCCCTGAAACATACTATGAGAAAAATCTAACAGGAAAGAATAAACTACAAAATACACAGAATAACTACTTGATTTTTTAAAAATTCACATAGAAGAAAAAGAATCATGAGCTAGATGTGGTGTCTTTAATTCCAGAGGTAGAAACAGGAGGGTCTCTGTGAATTTGAGGCCAGCTTGGACTACATACCAAGTTCTAAGACAGCCAGGACTAAATAAAGAGATACTGTTGAAAAAAAAATCATAAGGTAATCAAAGTTCAGGCTATAATTATTTTAAAATACAATAAACAGGACTAATAGTGCTGAAAGTCATATTGAGAACAGGAAATTATAGGCTGGGGAGTATTCCGGTAAGTAAAATACTTGCCCCGTAAGAATGAGGACTTGAATTTAATCTCTAGGGCCCACATTTTATTTTAGTTTATTTATTTGATTGTTTACTTTTGGTTTTTCCAGACAGGATTTTTGTGAAGCTTTGTCTGTCCTGGACTCAATTTGTAAACCAGGGTGGCCTCAAACTCACAGCTATCCACCTGCCTCTGCCTTACAGAGTGCTGGGATTACAGGCATGTGCCACCATGCCCAGCTAGGACCCACATTTTAAAAAGCTGAGCATGGTGGCATGGTGGCAAGTGTTACTAGGGAGGTGGAGACAGGTGGGTCCTTGCTAGACAAGCAGTCTAGCCTACTTCCAAGCTGCAGACCAGCGAAAGGCACTATCTTAAAATAAACAAACAAACAGTGTGGACAGCACCTAAGAACAACACTCCAGATTGTTCTCTGGCCTCTACACATGTGCATAAACACACACAAATACAAAACACAGGCACACACATGAGGATAGGAAATTATAGCTACAAAATTCTTTTAAAGAAAAAGAATGTATTCTGATTCAAATGATGGCAACAATGTAGAAATGACATTATTTTCTTAGCACTTGAGTGTTTGATACTCTATAAAATTCTTCATACATAGTCAATTTTAATACAAAATTTGAAGACCACTTTTGAAGAATTTTTTTGTTTGCTTGGTTTCTTAGAGTGTGTATCTCAAGCTGGCGTCATATTTGCTAAGCAGCACAGGCTGGTCTGAACTTGAGATTTTCCTGCCTCAGCCTGAGGCTTTTCGGTCCTGAGACAGTCTAGCTACATAACCCAAAGTGCAAGAACATAGGCATGCTGAAGGGACCAAAGACTGAAGCTGAAGGCAGGAATAAAAAAGATTAAGTTAAAAAAAAAAATTCAAAGGAGTACCAGCAAAAAGTTCCACCCGACCCCCTGTTCAAAGGAAGCCCACTGGCTGCTCAGTTTCCAAGGTTCCCTAGAAAGGGGAACAGGGGCTGTCTCTGACATGAACTCAGTGGCTGGCTCTTTGTTCACCTCCCCAAGAGGGGAACAGCCTTGCCAGGTCACAGAAGAAGACAATGCAGCCAGTCCTGATGAGGCCTGATAGGATAGGGTCAGAAGGAAGGAGAGGAAGACCTCCCCTATCACAGGACTAGGGAAAGGGCATAGAGGGAGAAGAGGGAGGATGGGCGGAATTGGGAGGAGACGAGAGAGGGGTCTACAGCGAGCATAAAAACTGAATAAATTGCAATAAATATGTAAATAATCACTCAGAAAGACAAAGGGGATGGACACAGGAAGAGGGAGAAATCAGGAAACGGGACAGGAGCCTACCACAGAGGGACTCTGAAAGATTCTACCCAGCAGGTTATCAAAGCAGATGCTGAGACTTATAACCAAACTTTGAGCAGCGTGCAGGGAATCTTATGAAAGAAGGGGGAGATAGAAAGACCTGGAGAGGACAGGAGCTCCACAAAGGGAGAAACAGAACCAAAAAATCTGGGCCCAAGGGGTCTTTTCTGAGACTGATACTCCAACCAAGGACCATTCATGGAGATAACCTAGGACCCCTGCACAGATGTAGCCCATCACAGCTCAGTGTCCAAGTGGGTTCCCTAGTAAGGGGAAGAGAGTCTGTCTCTGACATAAACTCAGTGACTGGCTCTTTGATCACTTCCCCCCAAGGGGGGTAGCATTCTTACCAGGCCACAGAGGAAGACATTGCAGCCAGTCCTGAAGAGACCCGATAGGCTAGGGTCAGATGGGAGGGGAGGAGGACCTCCCCTATCAGTAGACTTGGAGAGGGCATGGGAGATGAGGGAAGTATGGTGGGATTAGGAGGGAATGAGGGAGGAGGCTACAGTTGGGATATAAAGTGAATAAACTGTAATTAATATAAAAAACTAAAATTTAAAAATATATGAATAAAATTAAATTAGAAAAGAATAAAAGGTAGGAGGGAAAAAATTCAAAGAAAAAAAAGAATTAAGTGACCTTCTGAAGGTCTCAAAGTTATTAAGTGGACAAGCTAGTATTGTGGTCAAGCCAAACAACCTCATAAACTCACATTCTTAGGTATTACTTTAACTTCAAACAAATGCAGCCCAATCCACAGTTCCAAGCAAAGTCTGAGCAAGTAATAAATCACATTTGCAGAGTGAGTTTGCAGTGGCCTACCTGCTTCCCAAAGAGGAATGATTCAGTTGATGTGGTAAAGGAAAAACATACCAGAAGAGCTTCTTTCAAGTAAAATAAATTATACGTTTTCTATAACAATTCATGAGGAGAAATGTCTGTTTCTCAAAAGGTTACATCAGAAACCAGTAACTTCTTGATTATGAAATGGTAATGTAAGTAAACCTTGTCTGTAGAAAAAACTAGTGCCCACAGATGCCGATGCTTCATGACTCTGGCACAGGCAAACTTAGCAATCCGTACTGTTTACAACGGCATGAGAAAGAGTGACTCTTTAAAGCAAGAGTTAAGACGTGCTCTGTTTACAGCAAGAACAACTGAAGAACCTAACTCACTAGTTAGTAAACACATGTAAGTGTGCCTGTGCTTTCAGCCTTTTATAAGTGACCCAACTACAGAGTGAAAGAAAAGTACTTTGTTATCATTTTACGGTTACAAATTGGTACTTATATAAAATATGACAGTTACACTGTCATTTTCTATCACCTATGCCTTTATGTAACTCAATTTAAAATCCACAACAAATTTTTGGAAGATTTTTACTTCTGTGCAATGTCCATCTATTTTTGTGTCAGTACATGCACATGAATGTAGGTATCTTCAGAGGCCAAGAGAAACATAGGATCCCCAGAAACTAGAGTAGCAGGTGCCAGACATGGCTGCTGAGAACTAAGCCATGATCTTCTGCAGCAGCAAAATGTGTTCTTAACCCCTGAGTCATCTCTCTAGCTCCATAAAATAATCTTATTTATAAGAATTTCAAAAGTTTGGAGGCAATTTTTAAGACAAAAGGTTTTCTTGTTCTGTTTTTTCAGTTTTTTGAAAAAGAGTTTCTCTGTGTAGCCCTGGCCGTTCTGGAACTTGCTCTATACTCCAGGCTGGCCTCGAATTCAGAGATACACCCACCTCTGCCACCCAAATTCTGAGATTAATAGCGTGCCACCACAGCCCCACAAGGCAAAAGTTTTATAGTATTACTAGTAAAAGAAAAACATCAGTGAAAAAAAGCATTTACTATATGAAAAAGAGTAACACCTAACACCCGTGGAAGCCGGAAACTGCTTTCAGGTGTCATCCCCTATCACTCTCCACCTGAGTTATCTGTGACAGGGTCTCATCCAGCTTGGAACTTACTGTTTCGGTTAGACTGTCTAGCCAGAGAGCCCCTGAGAGCTGTCTTTGTACCACCTCAGCTGTGGACTACAGACCTGAACCACACCGAACTTTCACATGGGTACTAAGAATCTAAACTCAAGTGTTCAGGCATATACAAGAAGCATATATGTGTGTTTACACATGGATGGTGGGAGCGTGCTCTCAGGGGCCAGAGAGGGCGCTAGCGCACCTGGAGCTGGAGTTGCAGGCAGTGGTAAGCCACTGGACACTGGGTGTTGGAAACCAAATCCCCACCCTCCGCAAAAGCAGCCAGGACTCTTAACCACTATCACTCTAGGCCCCTAAGAAGTGATTGATTCTAAGAAATAAGCATCAAGCTAGGGATGAAACTTAATGGTTGAGTGTCTGGCTAGGAGTCACACTGCACCAAAACAAAGCAATAAAAACCTCCAGGGGAAAAAAAATACTAGAGTTGAAACAGCCACTTCAGTGCTAGTGATCAGGGATGTGGTCAACTTACTGTTTGTGAAAGTAAATGTTAAATGAAGATTAAACATTAGGCTTAATACACACACACACACACACACACACACACACACACAATAGTGAATTGGTCTATAAGCAACGAACTGTTACATGAAAATATATGAAGGAAACTAAAAATTAGTGGTTCTCCTTCTAGCCCTATTGGTACATCAGCTCATCTTCATGCTGACTGATGAAGATGGATAAAAATGAACAATATGAAGTCCCTTTAACAGGAACAAAAATCTTTCAGTATTTGTACTGACCGGCTCAGAATCATAGCCACAATCATCCCAGCTTGGCCTGAGGGGTTTCTTTGTTATCTGAAAGTAAGGCACATTAGTTAGGTGTAAGTTATTAGATGGGAGTAATACTTTGGTAAAGGTCTGTTAGATGCAATACTAAGAAAGCAAGACTACAGTACAGTTACTTGGCATGGCAACACATACTAATAAAAACTAAATGAATATTCAAACTCTGGGAGGTCATATATTATTCTATTAAACTTATATATGCCATAGCCCAGTGGCTCTGATATTTCTATTAACCACTGACATCCCTTATCGTGTGGGTATTGATATTATGTATGCATGCCATCACCACTCGTTACACCAAAAGTCAGAAGAACTATAAAATTAAGTCAGTGAAAATTATCATCTCATTTATAAGTGATTACAACTTTTTTAAAATTTTATTATACTTTATTACAATTTATTCAATTTGTATCCCGGCTGTGGGCCCCTCCCTCATCTCCTCCCAATTCCACCCTCCCTCCCTTTCAATTTTGTTTTAAAAAAAAAATTACTCATGAGCTGAATTAGTATTTTTTTAAATATGCTTAATTTCTTACAGTAAAAATTTCTAGCATTCAAACAGAAAGTCATATAATTTCTAAGTTCTTGCTCTATTAACACAAAGTTAAGGTAGTTTATATTAGTATGAAGTTTTAAAGTTAAAAAAAATACTAGATAGTGTATACTGTACATCTGAGAAAAAGTCCATGGTGTTACTTTCATAATCTTTAATAGCTAATTTTTGACTCACTCAAGTGTAAATTAAATGAAAAAATCCTAAGGTATTTTTCATTGCCATAAAGAACTTTTTCCTATAAATATTATATTTTGCCTCAAAACAAGAGAGATTGTTTTATTCTTTAAATAATGTAATATAGTAACAATTCTACTAATAATTGGATTTGGAATTTTAATGAGAAATCAATATCGTGGAAATTTGTGAAGATCACTCCTCACTATGGAAGCTGAAGGCTGAATTCTGAATTAAAAAAAAAAAAATGTATTCTCTAAATTATTTGCCTTTGAGGCATTTCATACTGATGCTTTGTTCTATTTTGTTTGTTTTTAACACAGGAAATCACCATGCAGCATAAGTTGTCCTGGAATTCACTTATATAGACAAAGGTGAGCTCAAACTCATGGTAATCCTCCTGCTTCAGCTTCCGAAATGATGGGATTATAGAAATGAGTCATCATGCCTGGGTTCCTATGGAATATTGATGAGGACTGTTCATTAAATTATACAGGGATACTCTATGCCAGTTAGCATGCAGATACATGTGCATTAGACTGCAAAACATGCAAACTGAGTTCAAACCAATCTTTTTGCAATAGATAAACATTAATCATCAATTACACTTAACATACTGGGATATGAAAAAGGGTTAAGTCATGAGAGAAAGAATGTAACACTTTTCTGATAAGCAGCATAAAACAGCTTAATATTCTTAAACAGAATCTCACAAAACGCACAGAAAACACATTTAATTTTTATCACTCATATGAAGGAGATAATCATTTTTAAATTTGGAAGTTACACCACATAAATTTTCAGAGTGCCTACATAAAGGCACTGGCTACAATCCATTATCTAGTTTGGGGGCGAGGGAAGCATTAAAAAACTTTTTCAGTAGCTAAAATCTAATTATTCCCTACTTTTCTGAACTTTTTTCCTGAACTCTTACCTGATTGAGATAATGATACTCCTCAGGCTGCTTAAGGTGGAATGCCAGCCTCTCTTCTTCACTTGCTCCTGCCAGCAGGTAATAGAATACATGATAGTTCCTGTTGGGGACAAAGCATAAAATGAACATGACTAATTCTGGTCAGATTGTTTTGTTTTGTTTTGTTTTGTTTTTAAAAGAGAACACATTAATTAGTAAAATGTTTGATTTGCTTCATTTTTTTAAGATTTGTTTATTATTTATACAACATTCTGCCTGCACACCAGATCTTACTATAGATGGTTATGAACCACCATGTGGTTGCTGGGAATTGAACTCAGGACCTTTGGAAGAACAGTGAGTGTTCTTAACCCCTGAGCCATCTCTCCAGCCTGATTTGCTTCATTTTTAAGGCAATGTGACAAATTCAACAATATGCCTATAAAATAAAATGCAGAATACCAAAAAGGGGGAGGGGGCCAAAAGTAGTAAATTAAAAAGCAGGATCTTCTGACCTCTGTCTTCTTAAACAACAATGGAGAAGAACCTCACAAATTTGCCTGAATTACTTTTTCAGAGCTCCAAAAATTAATCAAAAACTTACAGTAATCCAGTGGGGTATTTATCAACTACACCTATACAACAACAAAGGTATATACATTTTCTTAACTCCACATGAAACATTACTAGACAGTTAAACAAGCCTGAATACAGTCAAATGAAACCCAACCACGGTATAATGAAATTATAAATCGATGATGGAAATTTCCAAAATTCAAAACTGTGTGGTCAAATGTGAAGGCTTATGCCTATAATCCCAGCTTTCAGAAAGCTGAAACAGAAGACTGCTATGAGCTCAAGTCAAGCCTGAGCTACACAGTAAATTCCAGGCCAGCCATGGCTCAAAAAACTAACATAGAGAACAACCAAAGAAGAGGTGAAAAGAAGAAAGAAAACAAGGGGGGAAATGAACAAACTAAACCCACCAAGCATTAGAAAAAGCAATAACAAGCATTAGAGAAAAAAAATAGAATAGGAAGTAATAAAAATTAGAGTACAACAATGAAAATTTAAAAACCGGTTCTCTGAAAACATGTACAAAATTAACAAACCTTTATTTAAACTGGTAAGAGAGACTGGTTCAAAGTCAGGAATAAGGAAGGAGAAACACAGCCAAACTTATAAAATTTAAAAAGACTATGATACAGTATACGTATTAAAGTTAAAATAGCCTACATAAAATGCAGATTTCTAAAAATGCACAAGCTATCAAAGCCAACTAAATACAAAATCCAAACAAATCTTTAACCACTGAAGTGTTTGAGTTAGGAATCAAAACTGTTTCCAAATAAAACCGCAGAACCAGATAACTATGCTGGTAAGTTCTACCAGATAATATAGGAGACTCAATCTCTCAGAAACTCCTGCAGTAAATAGCTTTCAATCCATTCTATAAAACTATAAATTAGACCAGAAAGGAAAATCTTAGATAAGTAGTTCTCAACTACCTGACCCTTTAATACAGTTCCTCATGTTATGGTGACCCCACTCTCAACCATAAAATTACTTTCGTTGCTACTTCATAACTGTAATTTTGCTACTTTATGAATCTTAATGTAAATACCTGTGTTCTCCAATGGTCTTAGGTGATCCTTGCAAAAAAGTCATTCCACCTACAAAGCGGTCACAACCCACAGGTTGAGAACCAGTGCCTTCTACCTTTATAAGCAATATATCTTATGAATACAAAGAGAAAAATCCACAGCAGAATAACAGCAAACCAAACTAAGTAACACATAATACGGAGAACACACACACACACACACACACACACCTGTTGCCAGTCTCTGCTACTTCGTGGGTTCTTCTTTTTCCCACTCTTTATCCCTCTACCTCCCCCACATTCCCCTAGTTTCACCCCTTTTCACTAGATAGGAAAAAGAATAAAGATGAGAGAGAAAGAGAAGGCCTAGAATCTAATTTCTTTTTTCTTGTTTCTTTGTTAGCAGTAATACTAACAAACTGCAAACAACTCCCAGGAGCAACCAAAACCACCACCTACAACAAGGCTCTAGTATTTATATAGCCTCTGAAAAGTTCCCAGGATCCCAAGCATCACACAATTGCAGAAACTATCTTCAACTGGCAAAACCAAGCCTCTGCTAGAGCCCGAAGCAAATCACAGCCAGCTGCTCTGGACAGTCTGAGGGAGCCCCATATGTGCTCCCACACATATGTTTTAATCCCCACACCTGGGATTAAAACAAAAACATAATATTTGTGTTTTTTAAAGAAACCAAAATTCAGCTGGATGTGGTAGTGCATGCCTTTAATCCCAGCACTCTGGAAGCAGAGGCAGGTGGATCACTGTGAGTTTGAGGCCAACCTGGTCGACAAAAAAGAGTTCAGGACAGCCAAGGCTACACAGAGAAACCCTGTCTTTAAAAAAAGAAAAGTCCATAATGCTCTTAGACACACCTATCAAATGAAGCAATCAAAACAATTACATTTGTAAACTGTGTAACGTCACTTCCATTCATTCTTAAATCCAAGAAACAAGGATCATATCCCCACTGCTCCATTATAAAGTCCAAAAAAAACCACACTGATTAGTTACAGCGGTCACTGAGCCAGAGTTCTGTGCCTGTGTTCCACTGAGCATACCTATAACCTTTTCTCCATGTATTCAAACATCTCTAATACAAATCTTCTTTTATTATTATTAAAACAAAATAAATTCTTAACCTAACCCTGCAAATAATTTATTGTTGTTAGTCATTAATTACTGAGCTTTTATTACATATAAGCACCATGTTAATCATGTTACAAATCTTTTAGGACCAAAAGTGGTGTCCTACACTTTTATTTCAAGCACTTGGGAAGCAAAGGCAGGAGAATTGCTGTATAATTGAGGCCAATCTGGTCAAATAGTGAGTTTTGGAGCAGCCAAGGCTTCATAGTAAGAGTGTGCCTTAAAAATAAATAAATAAATAGATAGATAGATAGATAGATAGATAGATGGATGGATGGATGGATGGATGGATGGATGGATGGATGGATGGAT